AGGCTAATATATTTTCCCACCCATGCTGTGGTGTTCGGCCCTCGTTTTGGAGAGAGAGCGCCCCGCGTCACTCCTCACCGCCCTCCCCTCCTTCCTCCTCTCATCCCTGCTTCTGCCCTCCGCCTCCGCATGTCCATTTCGGCACACCCCTCACCCGCTGCGTGGCCCCAGATATTCATGGGAGCACCACCGAAGGTCCCACCAGCACCGTCCCCGTGAGGCCGCCCTGTCCAAGGCGGGCACACCCTTCACACGTTTCCTGGCCTCCACCGAGTGGGCCCCGATTGGCACAGTCCGCGTGTGGCCGCCCCCGCCCCCTTCGCGGCCCCGCAGGGCGCTCCATCGGGGAGGTCCCGCTGGCACGGTCCCCACGTGGCCGCCCCGCCCACGTCGAACCCGCAGCACGCTTCGTGGAGCCCCATATGGAGCTCCAGCGAAGGCCCCACAGGGCACAGTCTGCGTGTGGCCGCCCCGCCCATCTCGGCGCACCCCTCACGCGCTTCGTGGCCCTGCTGGGAGCTCCATCGAGGGTCCCACTGGCACAGTTCCCACGTGGCCCTCCCGCCCACTGCGAGCCCCTCATGCGCTGCGTGGCCCCATACGGAGCTCCACCGAAGGTTCCATGGTCACCGTCCGCGTGTGGCCACCACGCCTGTTTCCCCACGCACCTCGCACGCTCCAGGGTCCCATCAGGAGTGCGGTCGGACCGATGTATAAGATCGAGATCGGTTCGGCGAGGGTACCCTAATGTTCTTCGTGTTTGTTGGATGTTCTTGTGCATCCTGGGGGAGGTACCCTTGGATGTTCGTCCGTTTGGGCCGGCGGAGGGTCTCATGTTTTTGGAGGATGTTCTTCTGACCTAGGTCTGACCGTAGCTCCCGCAAAGATCCCACTGGCACGGTCCGCATGTGGCCGCCCCGCCTATTTCTGCACACCCCTCACGCGCTTCGTGGCCCCATAGGGTGCTCCACCGAAGGTCCCACTGGCACCATCCGCGTGTAGCCGTCCCGCCCATTCCGGTGCACCCCTCACACGCTTCGTGGCCCTGCAGGGAGCTCCACCGAAGGTCCTACTGGCACAGTCCGCATGTGGCCGTCCCGCTAATGCCGGCGCACCCCTCACGCGTTTCGTGGCGCTATCCGGAGCTCCACCGAATGCGCCGCCCCGCCCATGCTGGCAGACACCTTCCACGTTTCTTCTTGGCTGCAGAGGGAGCTCCACCGAAGGTCTCGCTGGCACAGTCCGCATGCGGCCGCCCCGCCCATTTCATGTCGGCGCACCCCTCGCACGCTTCATGGCCCCACGGAGTTCCACCGAAGGTCCCACTGGCACAGTCCGCATGCGGTTCCCCGCCAATGTCTGCACACCCCTCACGCGTTTCGTGGCTGCAGAGGGAGCTCCGCCGACGGTCCCACTGGCACGGTCCGCAGGCGGCTCCCTCCATGTCGCACCACTCACGCGCTTCGTTGCCCCATGGGGAGCTCCAGCGAAGACGAGGCTGAGAAATGCGGTGCTCACAGATGCCTGCGGTTAGACCCTTTGAGCGAGCGAGAAGCCATGCGCCATTCGGCGCGTGGGCAGTTGAAACAATGTACCGCCAGGGCAAGGAAGGTCAGTGTGCAGCGCGGCCGTCAAGCTCAAACTTTGTCACAAAACGACGCCCCGTTCGTTCGTCCGCCATGCAATCAACCAGGGCGGAGTCGGAGTCAAGACGGTTGCGAATCAAACTGCGCAAACACTTTGTCCACCTGTGCCTGGGGCGTCCGGGCGCCCGCCCAGCAGAGTCCGTCACAGCTCTCGCACTCCCTGGTCGGAACGTAAGCTTGCGCAGCACGTCGTCGTCCCTACGCCGGCCGATTTTCTGCCGCTCTTCGTTCGTCAGACATACGCCGCAGGCGGCCGCCCCTGGCGGAAGCCCCGTCGGCGGCTCCAGGCACGCGCAGGGCCGAGCGCGCGCCCCGGCCGCGGCGGGCCCGCGCGCGCGGGCAGCGCCGTCGGCCGCGGAGGAGCCGGAGGGGCGCCGCGACCAGATCTGCGAGCAGCTCCGGGCTCTGCTGCAGGCGGGTGCTGCCAGCGGTGGCCCTGGCCCGAGGTGGCCCGGGCTCCTTCGGGGAGGCGCAGGTGGCTTCCGGAGCACCTCCCTCGCGAGGCCCAGGGCCCGCGAGGCGCCCCTGGACGGCGCGAGAAGCTGGGAGCACCTGTGGCCAGGACCACTTCAGGCAGCACCCGGGCCCAGTGCCTTGGCCCCGCCGCTCGCCGCTCTGTGCTCGAGGGCGCCTTCACCCAGGCACAGCGCCGCGCGCTGGAGCAGTGGATGACGCGCCGCGGTGCCGAAGGGGGCCAGGTTGCATCATAATCTCCGTCATCTTCTTCTTCTTATTATTCTTATTATTATTCTTCTTCTATCATCATCATCATCATCATCATCATCATCATCATCATCATCATCATCAGCATCAGCATCAGCATCAGCATCAGCATCAGCATCATCAGCAGCAGCATCAGCATCAGCATCAGCAGCAGCAGCAGCATCAGCATCAGCATCAGCATCATTTGCATCATCGTCATCATCATCGTCATCATCGTCATCATCATCATCATCATCATCATCATCATCACCAACACCCTCCTCCTCCTCCTTCTCCTCACCATCATCGTCATCACCACCATCGTCACCATCATCAATTTCATCAGTCTTATCATCCTCATCATCCTCATCAGCAGCATCAGCATTATCACCAGCATCAGCATCAGCATCAGCATCAGCATCAGCATCAGCATCATTCATCGTTGTCGTCATCATCATGCTCACCATCAGCATCCTCATCATCACCACCACCATCGTCATCTTTAACAACAACGTTATCATCATCAGAATCATCAGCATCGGCATCACCATTACCATCACCATCATCACCATCATCATCATCATCATCATCATCATAAAGCACATCATCAAGAACAGCATCATCATCATCAGCATCATCATCGTCATCGTCATCGTTATCTTCATCGCCACCATCACCTTCATCATCATCAGCAGCAGTATCATCATCATCATCACCTTGGCCAGGCTGCGGAGGCTCCGTCCGAGGCAGCTCTGATAGTCGCGGACGTCGCCAGCTCGTCTGGAGACTCTAGCAGCAGCGAGGGCGCCTCCGGAGACGAGGTAGACGGCCCCGTGCTCGCGCTGGAGGAGGTGCGATCGAGGTACGATACCACGTCGGGGCACACAGAGGTACCGAGCTGCAGACCTACGGCCTTGGGAAGAGCGACAGTGCACGAGGAGCTCCAAGATGATGTTGCTAGGAAGCCCGGCAGGGCTCATGTCGCTTCTGTCCGAGTGATCAGCCGGTTCGATCCGATACGGTTTTGATGTTCCGACGACGCTCGAGGGGCGCTGTTGTGCATCCTGGCGCGGCCGATCCAGTTTGTGGTCAACTCCGTGCCGATGCACGCCGATCCGGCGCACGCTCCGATCCGATCCGATTTCCCGACTCGGTTTTGACTCATCCTGCCTGAGGAGGCTGGCTGGGAGAAGGTGCGCTGCGTCCACCGCAGGCAGCTGAGGCATGGCGGCTACGTGTACTGTGCCACGCTCGATGTCGACGGCATCTCTTTTGAGACCAAGACCACCCCTGACTTAGCAACAGTGCTTGACTTCCACGTGGCTTTGATGGCCGTCCGCCAGGGCATGCCAGCATTAGACGACAGGGTTGCCACCATTCAGCAAGTCGTTTGGAGGATATTGACAGAGCATGGCATTGATGCCGAGAAAGACATGGGTTTGAGAGTGAACATCAGCATACATGCGAGGTTCTTGCTTGGCACAAGGATACATTCTCCAAGCGTCCCCCTGAGCAGGATACATGATGTCATGCCTCTGTGGGACAAGGTTGTGCACCGGTTCTTGCTGGGACGCTGGCGCAAGGGCGGCAGCAACCCCTACTACTCCAACGACCCTGTTACGTTTGAAAACCTGTGGTCCGCGATGCGCAAGGAGTATCCAGAGAGCTTCGCGCGCCAAGGGCGTGATGCGCAGTCGGTTGTGGCGAGGCTCGACGCCAAGTATGCAGCAAGGCACACGCACCGGCAGCAGCAGCTGGAGAGATGGAACCGTCTGAGGATGCAGGCGGAGGACAAGAGCAGTTACCGTCTGCCACGCCTGGAGGAGCGTCGAGACCGGAGGCTGCGGCGATTGGCGCGCAGGGAGACTCGGAGGAGGGCCACTCGAGACAGCGGCGGCTCTGCCGCCCAGCCCCAGTCCGCTCCAGCCCGGTTCTTGGACCTGTCCTGGGGCCCATGCTGAGCAGTTTTTCGAGGCAGTTTCAGCCGTGGCGCCGAGAAGCCTCCAGGTGGCCCAGACAGAGCGACTAACGCTGGGGAGGGCCGCCGTTGTCCCGACTGGCCTTCCTCCGAGAGACGCGCTGCTTGCAAGCTATTTCGGCGTGCCTGCGGAGATGGCAGCGGCTGGAGGCGAACGTCTTGGCGGCCAGCCGCAAGAGGCGGCGCCTGGAGGAGGCTCTGGAGCGCTCGCAGAGGCAGGCGCGGTGGCGCTGGCTGAACCGCCGCGACATCACCGTCGAGGAGATGTTGCAGGGCCAGCGTGGCAAAAGAGCCCGGAGACGAGGAGGGGAGGGGGAACGGGAACAGAGGGAGATCAGCGGGATCCAGAGAACGAGAAGACGGAGTGACGATGATGATGATGATGACGATGATGATGATGATGATGATGATGATGATGATGATGATGATGATGATGATGATGATGATGATGTTGGTGATGTTGGTGATTCTGATTATGATGATGATGATGCTGATGATGATGATGATAATGATGATGATGGTGGTGATGATGGTGGTGATGATGTTGGTTATGGTGATGGTGATGGTGATGGTGATGGTGATCATGATGGACAATGATGATAGTGATGATGGTGATGTTGATAGTGATGATGGTTCTGATGAGGATGAGGACGAGGATGATGATGAGGATGATG